TGTGCAACTATGGCAACTATATTATTTATATTATTATTCATTTTAACATTATTATAAAAAAATTTAAAATATTAAAGAATAATTTTTTGATTCAAAATTTTTTTTTAATTCTTTATAAATTTGTTATCAACCAATAATAAAAGTTACTTTGTAAACCTTTCATTGAACATTTTGATTTTTCCTAGTGATTGAAAATTTATTATAATCCCATTCATCCGACAAATTATTGGATATTATTTGATGTGCTTTTTCATCTTTTCCAAACTTAAAAAGAATTTGTGCAAAATGTTTATAATTGTCTGAATCAAATCTGAATCCATTTTTTTCAAGTTGATTCCACTCATTTTCTATAGTTTCGAATTCATTTGCTGATGAAAGTGCTTTCATCATAATTGAAAGTGCAAAATTGGGTGGTGGTTCTGGGGCAGGCAATAAATATGCTGATAATTCAAGTGAATCAAATAACATAAGGTCTGGATTTATATTTTTTGACTTGAAAGTCTCTGATAATGGTATTAAACTATTACATATTGAGCGATATTTTTCATATAAAACTTCCCACATTTTAAATACAGCTTGATGATTACCTCCTCTATAATAAGCATCCATCAGGACAGTAAATGAGTATGAATTATAAGGTATACCAAGAGTTACCATTTTGTCAAATATTTCTTTTGCAACATGAAATTGACCTTGTTTGGCATAAGCATTCATAAGAGGTGTAAATAAATGTGGAGGAAGATCAATCTCACCCATCATTAATTTATAATTTGTAGAATCAGTAATTTTCTTATTTTCAAATTCAACAATTAATTCATCCAGTATCTTGTAAGCAAATTGAATCTCTCCAGCTCGTGTATAACCTTCTATCAAAACAGCAAATGTTACATATGTTGGGTTAATATTTCTGTTGATCATATCTTCATAAATTTTTTTTGCCTTTTCAAATTCACTGATTTTCATATAACCATGTATAAGTACTGTGTAAACATGAGCATCCGGCTTTATTTCAGAATTATTTAACATATGATCTAGCATTGCAATAGCTTTATCTAATTCACCTTTGATACAAAAACCATAGGCCGCACAAGAATAAGTGTAATGGTCTGCAATTATTGAAGCACTCAACATATATTCAAAAATTTCTTGTACACGTATCATATTTCCTTCCTTGGCATGACCCATAATTAACATATTATAGGTTGCAGTTTGTGGTTCAATCCCATTGTTTTTCATTTGGTTGATAATTTCTTCTGCTTCCTGTAATCTTGAGGTTCTTGCATATACATTCAAAAGAGAAGAGTATGTATATAAGTCAGGGGTTAAATTAAATTCACACATTTCATTAAACAAAATACAAGCTCCAATCAAATCATTCTTTTTTGCAAAAAGTGATATCAAACCATTATATGTTCGTACATCTGGTTTTATTCCTTCATCCAACATTTTTTGATAGATTTCAATTGATTTATGCAATTTGTTTGCACGTCCATATCCATGTATCATATTGTCATAAGTTACTGTGTTTGGATCTACTCCATCTTTAATCATATGATTAAAAGTCATCTCCATCATTTTTATATTTTTAATATTTGAAAATAAATCAAGTATTGATGAATATGTATATTTATCTGGTTTTATTCCCATTTTCTTCATCATTGAAGTCATTTGTGAAATTTTGTCAACTTTATTTATTTTTGCATACACATGAAAAATTTCTCTGAATGTGCTAAGGTTTGGATCAGCTTTCATTTCCAACATATCTTCAATCACCTCGAGTGCTTTAACATAATTTTCTGTTTGATGATAATATCTTATCATAGAGGTGTATGAAGCAGTATCAAGTTTATAATTTTGCATTGCCATTTCTTTAAGTAAACCATCTGAAACATCAAACATTTTTTCTGAGGTGTAATTTTCTATTAAATTGGTATATATAATAGGATCGCATTTCATTTTTAATGATTTCAGCTTGTTTAAGATCTTAGTTGCTTCATCAAATTTCTTTTTATCTGAAAGTATAATCACCACTTCCTTTATTAATCCTGCATCTAGTTTTTCTTTATCCATTAATTCATTAAACCATGACAATGTTTCACTTTCATCATGGTCAAGATTCCTTTTGAAAACAATTTTCACTATAGATTTTGTATCACCATTAGGTTTAATATTCTTATCTTGCATCAAAGTATATAATTTCGTAACTTCTTGAAGATTTCCAAGATTTCTAATCTTTTGATTTTCGTTGTTTAAGATATACCTCGGGCTTCCAAACCCAAGCATCATTGTGTTAATTATCTTACAATACTCCAACGAATTTTTTCCCACATGTTCATCACCAAGTGAGGTTAAAATAAATTCATCAAAAAGTTCTTTAGCCTTTTTCAAATTTCCATTTTCAAAAAAAGCTTTTATCAAATAATTGAAAAGAATTAAAGTGACTTTTTGATTCCTGGTTTCTTTCAAATTATTGTAAATCATTAAAAATTTATCAAGTCTTCCTTTTGCATCATTGTCCAAATTTTTGATTGCTCTCAATAACCTATTTAAATATTTAGTATCAATATGTACTAAGTTTCCTTCTTTGACCAATTCTTTATAAACATCCCATACTAGGTCATCATTCTCATTAGACTGTAAAGCTTTTCGTAATTTCGTTGAGAAAAGAATTTTTCCCTGTTCTAAATCACCTTCATTATCCATGTTATTATTATCATCAACATCAATGTTGTTATTATTATTATTTTCAATATCAATATTATCATCAATAATGTTATTGTTAGCTATGCTAGTGTTGTTGTTACTATTATCATCACTTATTCCATCAATTATATTATTCTCATTATTACTATTAAAATCTTTATCAATGTTTTCTTCCGTTATTGATGATGAATTTTCAGAGCTTGTTACAAAATTTCGAATAGATTTTTTATTGGATTTAATTAAATATTTTATAGAAAATTCAATATCAAACTTTGTATAATAATAATAATAATTACAATAACAATTTATCAGAAATTGTTTATTGAATAAAGTTCTTTGTCGTCTGTTAAAACTTTTCCTGATAGGTTGAGTAGTAATTTTTCTTGCACAAATAAAAGGTGTATAAAATAAACAGATCATTGAATTTCTATTAAAATTTTGACAATTAATTTTTAAACTAGATAACATGGTTTTTTTATTTATATATTTATTTTATTTTTTTCAAAAAGAAAATTATTATGATTAGATTTTAGTACCCTGGAAACTTTTTTCATGAATATCATTACCAAAAAATACAAATAAAAAAAACAGCAATTTTATTATTATTATTATTTAACATTACAGTTTTTTTTTTTTTTAATCATTTTGTTCAGAATTATCTTCAGCTTGTTTTCTTATTCGTTTTTCATACTCGCGACGATTTTTCCTATTGAATAAAAATTATAAAATAATAATAAATATATTTATCATCAAAAAGGAAATCTGGCATGGATTGTCATAGAAATAAGTTTTTTAAAAAACTACTTGTATAAAACATAAGCTTCATTATGTGCAGGACTTTTGGGATTTGGTTCATCTAAAAGATTTTGGATGCCTAACAAGATCTAAACAATGGAGAAAATTTTCAAGTCATTATTAATGATTAATTGTAATAAAAATAAATAAATGGATATTTTTTTTTACCTGTTTAATGTTAATACCAGGTTTCCATCCTTCATTTGGATTTATAATTGAAAGACAAACCACCCCAGATGGATAAACATTAGGATGAAAAAGTGCAGGTTCAAATCTACCTATATATAAATAATAAACACAGTATATAAATATATATTGAGGAATTTAATTATCATAAATTTATATTTTAAATGACTGGTTTTTTTCTAATAATTGTCCATTGTTATAACCTACATATAGGTGGTTTTGAAGGATAGTCTTATAATAATAATAATAAGAAGAAGAAAAAATCAATTAACATCAAAAAATGTTGTTTTCTTAAAAAAAAAAGTTATGGTTTTGAATGGTTTATTTTTTTTACCTTCTGGAAAAATCAAGACCATTTTGTAAAGACCATTTTCCCATAGCGTCTAAGAAGAAAAACAAATTTATTTATTTCAAAGATGAATATATATATGTGTATGTTATTTGAATCGAAATAAACTTACGCCTTTTTTTCCTGGAATTCCCACTTTCCATGTCATCATATCTAATCCACTTTCTTTCTTAATTGGCATTGCATAAAAGCCCTTTTAAAAAAATATATGTTATATATATAAATTACATCATAAACGCGGTTATTCTCTAATGATATAAAAGCTCACATACATATGGATGGTCTTTCCTCCATTGTTTACGCTCTTCTGTAAGACGTGACAAACAAATTCCTGACATTTTTGGGAGTTTATTTAATAAAAGTGCAAGTAATAAAGAAGTAAAGTCAACTATTGATAATTATTTACGCGCGGAGTGCAAATCTTGATTTCAAAAAACATTCTACGTGTAACTTCATTATCACATAAAACCCCCTCCCCAGGAGAAATGACCTCATTCGTAGCATTCTATTAATTCAGAAAGGTTTTCTTACCAACAAAATTTTTAATTGAGATATTTAAATACATTGAAAACGATTGTAAAATATTCTATTCTTGCATCCTAGTTCAGTATTCCAACTTTACGGAGAGATCCATTCTATTCTTTTAACATTACTAACATATTAATAAATTATTTATTGTGGAATAACATGAAATTAAGGTCACGGCTATTGGAAAAACCACCATTATACAATTCACAACTGGACTAGATTTTATGTGTAATTGGTGTAATGTACCAACAAAGATTTTTAAACAATATAACATAAATATAACATTATTTATCACCAAATATTTTAAAAAAATGAAAATTCTAGAACATTTTGTTCAATGCCACACACATCATGCCATCAATTATAGATAAAACACATCCCGGGGCTATATTTCTTGGTAGGTAATATTAACACAAGCCACTAATAGGATAGGATAGTTTTATTTTGTCTTTTGGACGGTGTTGTTTTCATCCGACCTAAGTGCACCTTTATTATCTCCTATCAAGAATTGACCATTCATTACCTCCTCGTAATTTGTTAAATAGACAATTGCTGACAATAACGAAGGCATCAATGGTGTTTTTTTAGGTTTGTAAAGAATGAAAACTTTATCATGGAAAGAAGTATTGTTTTTCTTTATATTAATTAAAAAAAAATGAAAACTAAATTTTGTTGGTTTTTCAATCATAATGGCTTTCATCAATTCTGTCATTAATATTAATTTTATCGTTGTGATATTAGCTGGTAAAGTAATCATGATGCTTAGCTGATAATTGGCACAAAAAAAATTTCCAATGAAATCAAAAAGAAACAATAAAAACAACAGCTTTTCATAAATGAAAAAACTGAACAAAGGTAGAATTTGAATTTGAATATAGATTGCAAATACTACGTATTAACAAATTTTGACTTGAAAAACTATTAGTATTCCTTCATTCAAAAACAAAATAATTGTTGACAACACAACACTATTTAGAATGTGATTTTTTTTATGTCAATCATATGTAATAATTTCACATTGAATCAATTTCTTAATAAATACTCTGTTCTTAGGACAATTCTTGTTATCTAATAAAAAATTTATGGACGTTGACGTTCATGTTTTATTTCGATTAACATATATGCATAATACATAAATTTGAATTCAATTTTATTTTGTAATAGCAAAAATCTTACTGTAACAACCTCATATTTCTAACTACATATTAATAATGGTTAAAAGATTAAAATACATGACGATGTTCTATAATCTCAAATTTGCCTTTTCCTGTAGCCTTTATGTCAAACACTCTTCCCAATGAAGGCTGATTCACTTGGTAATAAGTTTGCCTAAGATAGTCAATGAGATCTTCATTAATCTGTTGATTCTCCATAGGGGGGAAATCAACAACACAAAAAATTGAATCAGATGGATTGCCGATGCTAGCTCCTCCAGAACTCATGGTATTATCTGAAAACGATTGAAAACCAGGAAACCTTCGAATAACTGATCCAAAAAAAATAAAAAAATGTAACAAAACATTATTAGTTATTTTTGGACATACCATTAGTTAAAAAAATGTAACAAAACATTATTAGTTATTTTTGGACATACTATTAGTTATGTTATTTTTATTAATATTTCGCTGTCTGAGTCCGTTATCGTTCCACTCAATGATGAATAACATTGGATCAATATAATAATCATCTATCTCAGAGACAGGGACACTGCAATTCGCTTTTGCAGTATTGAACCATTGGAGAATAATTTCTTGGGTTTTGTCACTAAAATCGTTTAATGAATTCGTCATCTTTTTTTTTACTAATAATTTTTTACTAATAATTTTTTCAAATAAATCAGATTAAGATATTGGTAAATAAACACATTGTATAAGAGAAAAATGAGCGTTATACCTAAAGAACTTAGGAAAGAGCTTAGAGAAAAGCCAGTGCCAAAATGCTAAAGACATGCTAACGGGAAATGTACACATGATAATAATGACTACTACAACAATACAAATGGTTTTTTCAATTGTTTTTGGCATGGTTAATGTACGATTATGGTTAAGTATATATTAATATGTCCGTAGTTATCTAACTTGGAAAAGTAATTTTTTATGTAATAATTACATCATGATGTTAGCAAAGTTTGATTATCACGAACTCTAATCATAGAAATATAAATGATCGTGATAAAAATCATGCACCGAATAAAATACTAATACTATCAGTCATAGGACATGTCACGCAGATCAATGATCTGAAATCATAGTATTCGAATTTACAGTGAAATTTTACAACCAAACGATTTCTAATCCCCATTTAATACCCTTGCTGTGTAGTAGCCATCTCCAAATTCGAGATATAACTTCTTTATCATATGTATTGGCTTTAAGAAAAATTTTAAAGCAGGTTGTTAATAAAACCGAAAATAATCTGACCCTCAAAGTCAAATTTTGCTTTTATATTAATATGTAAAATTTTGTTTGACGCGTCCAATTGCAAGTATAGATAGAAATAAATGTCCAAATATTACATTATTATGAATATTTGCAGAGTTTTGATTACTTAGATATGTCTTTTATAGTAAAATCATTTATTTTAAAAGTAAATATAATAAATAAATAGATATTAAAATTTTTCTTTACTACAGGGTCCTATATACATAAATAATGATTAAATTAAAAGGTGTTTTATCTCTGACTTTATTCATTTAATTATTTATCATAGTGATGTTATTAAATATAAGTTAAAATAAAAGACATCAATAAATGAATGATTGATAAAACGTTCACTACTTTGCAAGTTTCATAAATCTTGTCCTTAACGCTTATACAAACTATTAAATTATTGATAAAACATTCGTTAGTATATTTTGTTCATAGATCTTGTCTTAACGCTTACTTTGATCACTCCTACACAAACTATTAAATTATTGATAAAACATTTGTTAGAATATTTTGAAAGCTACATATATCTTGTCCTTAACACTTACTTTGATCATTCCTACACAAACTATTGAATAATTGACAAAACGTTCGTTAGTATATTTTGCAAGCTTCATAGATCTTGTCACTTCGAACTCCTATACAAACTGGATCTTAATATCTATTATCATCCTCAAAAAAGATGGTTCGTTGTCATCGTTTGCTATTTGTTGCTATTAATATTATTGTTTAATGTTGCTATAACAACTACTGATTGATGGATATTCATAATAATCATTAATGGAACTTTAATCAATATAAAGTCAGAAATATAAAACAATCACTAATAAAATACCTTTTAGTTCTTGCTGAATCCCATCTACATAAATTCTTCATGACTATTAAAATTTCTATAAAATAGTTTTTTGTGAACCTCTCTAAAACTTATTAACCAATACCCCCCATAAAGTAATGACCATAT